GGGGCTATGTCACACTGCTGTTTCAAGTGTGGTCCCAGAGGTGTGAAGCTAGCTCCCCCAGTTAGGATCTGTATGACCTTGGTGACCTTGTGTTTCAGGTTCCTCGTGTATAGAATGGCAATATCTAGGGATGCTTATCTGTTCAGTCAGAATGTACATGGGGAGGACACCCCCAGTGCCTGGTACAGAACTGTCACTTGAAAAGAGTTTGGTACATGGCTGTCCCTGCTGCAGGTCTGTGGTTTGGCCTTCTAAATGCCTGCCCCAGTTCTGGGTCTCCCCCCATCCCTGGGCTCACCGGGCGCCGGGGCCGCAGGGCAAGGATGTCGGGTTGCAGTGGGTAGGCAGTGAGGGTAGCCTTCTCTGCATTCTGGGACTCCCGGCCCAGGCGCTCCCACACTGTGTCCTGAGGCAGGCTTATGTAACAACCTGGCCTGGCCAGGCAGGACAAGATTCTCAGCCTCGTTTTGTCCCTCCATTGTCTCTTCAGCTCCCTTCCCCCATGGAGCTGTTGTTAGCCGACTTCCTCGAGCTGCAGGTCTGAAATCGGACCCCTGCTATTCTCCCACCAATTGATTTAGCCTGATTGATTTCGGCTGCAGGCTCTGAGGCAGGCAACCCCTCCTTTCAGTGTCCAGGGCCTGTGCTTCTTCGGAGACTGGCAGGCACCCTGGGTTTTTGAGGAGACGTCGGTTACTAAGTGGCAGGGGCTCCTGGTGTGCCTGCCAGCCGGTAAGGCCAAGAGGCTGGTGTTCCCCGTGGTCCCAGCTTTGCATTTGTCTCCTTTCGTCCCCGGCCTCACTTTTCAGCCGAACACTTCTTCCAGGCCAGCCTTCCTGGTACAGAGAATCGGTCTCTCTGACTGGCCTCCATTGGGCCAGTCAAACTCCTGTGCTGAGCTCTGCAGTGAACTCGACAGTGTCTTTTCTGTGCTTTTTAAGAGAACAGAGGTTACAAGCTGGCAGGCCACATATGCCCTATGGGCAGATTCTGTTTGGTCCATGCCAAATATTGAGCTAGTCAACAGGAAATTTTACATAAAAAAAAATCACACTTCTTGCTTTACTGCAAAAACTGGAACATCAAGCTGGGCATGGTGGTGTATGCTGTTAGTCCCAGAGTTTGGGACCCCGCCTCCCAGCTTTTCCTGCTCCCCATTAGAGGATTGCAAACCCCAAGCTTGCATTCTCCAGGGGCTCCTGCTGGGGATGAGGCCTGTGCTCTTTACTGACCCTGCCTGTCATTTCATGTGTTTCATAATCCTGGACCCCAGGGACATCTGAGTTTGCCACCCTGTCCTTAGGGCAGGGAGCTGCTTTCTCTCCCGCTTGGCACTGTGCTGCCTGCTGGTCTCCTGTGGGCCGTGAGGGTGTGGACTGTTCATATCTGTGTCCTGGAAATGTGCTTAGACTCAGGACTGTGCATACAGCAGGAGCATAATAATGACATCCCGTGGGACTGAAGGTGTGGTAGAGGCTATCGTTTTGCCAGCTGTGAGTCAGCCTGCCCCGGTTCTGGGGTCTCCTTCCAGACAGGCTGCAGCTGATGCTCGTTTGTGTTCCTTTACCGTAGTCAGGCTTGCTGTAGCACAGGCGGTCCTGGTACCCACCGTGGCCTTCCTGTCAGGCCTTCTCTCTGACACAGCCTCTGAGAGTGCTACTTCACACTGCCACAGCACACATGGTCCAGCACATGCTCACAGAAACCTGCGGGCTCAGCGGTTCTCAGCAGTACCTGTCTAGGTCTGCCCCTGTCGTCCTGGGACAAAGGGGAGGGTGGAAACCAGTGTGCACAGTTCTGGTAGCCATTGCACTAGGCTCTCCTGGTCGCTCCGTACTCTTGGTGATTATGCTGTTTTATTTAGCCTTCAGCTCCTTTGTCCAGCTGTCTGTTCATTCAAGGGTTATTGGGCTCATTTTCTGATTTTGTTTTGTTTTTCGAGACAGAGTTTCTCTGTATTGTTTTGGAGGCTGTCCTGGAACTCACTCTGTAGACCAGGCTGGCCTTGAACTCACAGAGATCCGCCTGCCTCTGCCTCCCGAGTGGTGGGACTAAAGGCGTGGACCACCAATGCCTGGCTTGATTTTTTTTTTTTTTGAGTAAAGTTCTTATTGTTTAAGCCTTGGATGGCCTTTGAACTCGCTCTGTAGATCAGGCTGACCTCACACTCACAGAGATTCACCTGCCTCTGCTCTTAAGAACCGTTAAGAACTGGGATTAAAGATGTGGGCCTCCATGCCAAAGAAGATGGAACCTTTTGGAAGTGGTCTTTGCTGCTAGGTCACACTTACCCTGTAGACAAGAAAACCCTGGGACTAACAAAAATTGCCTATAGATTTCTGTCTACTGACACTGTCCTAGCCTTTCCCTCCCCAAAATATCTAGACACTTTGAGCACTGTGTCTTAGGGCGTAGGGTCCAGTGCTGGTAGAGGACATTAATAGGAACACCTCCCTATCCCACCCCTGGCTTTTCATTCACCCTCTGGGCCAGCACGCAGGGTTCCTCCTTCCCTGTCACTATGGCTCTGCGTGCTTGTGGAATCAGTCTTCAAGGATAGCACATTAGGCAGGTTTGTGGGGTGGGCTAGAGTCCTGTTCCTGCCTTGGCCAGGCCCAGAGGGTTTCACTTCACACGCTGACAGCTCAGGAGAAGGGTGCCCTGAGAGAGGTGTAGTCTTATCCAGAAGGGGAAGAAGCCAGAAGTCTGGCTCTTAGCAGGTAGGTGCTAGGCCCCCCGCTCTCAGGCCTTATAAGAAATGACTGGTGTGCAGGGGGTCTGTGGCACACAGGCTGAGACATTAAGTATAAGACCGAACAAGCCATTTACAGCTGAGTGAACTGAGGTTCTAAAGGGAGGAGGCTCTCCAAATGTTAGCCACACAGGTGTGAAAGTCAGGCTGCAATCTCAGATCTTCTCACGCTAAGCTAGGCTTTGCTTCCCTGTCCTCATCTCCCTCTGTACAGATAGTGGCAGATTCGATGCAGTGGGAACAATCAACTGATTGTCTGAAGACTGAGCAGGGCCTCCGTACGCTGGAGGCATGAGATAGGCTAGGTATGGGAGTGACCCCTTAAATACCCTGCATCCTGTTTCTTGGTTTTCCCTTGCACTGTCTTCATGGACCAGCTGTCTGTGAGCCCACTTCTGCCTGGCACTGGCTGTGGGCTCTTTCTTCTGAGAACAAAGCTAGTTTCTAACAGTCTTCCTGCTGACAGAGAAGGGCAGGCGAGGCCCTGGCTTTCCCCTCCATCTGCTAAGAGCATTTGTGGGCTGTTGTGAAGGCCATCAGCAGCCCTGTCAAGGCTCCTTCTGGCAGCCCAAGTGTCAGGACCTAGAGTCTCTCCTCAGGGGCCAAAAGACTGTAGACAGAAACAGAATGTCATATCCAGTGGTCACCGTTAGGAATTTGACCAGGACTGGTCACATGAGACCATAGAGGTTTCGTTAAGGCTGAGGTGTGGTACCACTCTCAGGGCTCCGAGACTAGAAGGGAGATAGTGTCCCATTCAACACATTTTTACAAAGCGTCTGCTTCACTGGGACCCTTTTCTAGGAACTGACACAGCGGTGCACAGAATAGACCAGGACTCTGTTTTCATGTATCATGTCACCAGTCGGGTCGAGCCAGTTAATCAGTATAAACACATTGTAAGTGCCAAGTGCTAAGCCCCCCTAGGAGAAGTAAAGCTGGCCTGGGGATAGCAGGTGTGCCTGGCTATGCCACAGCAGGTGGGTGTTTCCCACGGCAGGATGCTGGTACAAATTTGCCGGGCAGAGGGAGCATCAAGCCCAGTCTGCACATATGAGGAGCAGCAAGGCACCTGGGCAGGCAGAAGGTGGGAGTGGGGAGGGGAAGGGCTTCTCGCTCCTTCTGAGGGAGGACTTTACTGTTTAGGAATGAGTAAAGGGGAAGCCTCTGCAGGGTTTGGGGCGCAGGACTGCCCTGTTTAACCCTTCATGCAGAGGGTATCCAGATGAAGAACGAGATGGCTCAGTGGCAGGGAGGTAGGGGCCACCAGGGGTGGCTTCTGGATTTATCTTGCAGATGAGCTGACAGATTTGCTGAAGGATTAGATGTGGGTGTGAGAGGAGAGTGTTGCTGGCTGGAGGAACCGGAAGGACATTGTTGATACTAACTGGATTGGGAAGGCTGAGGACAAGCAGGCTTGGAGAGAGAAATGGTGATCTCTGGTCAGTTGGGTTGGGGTGTGGCATACCCTGATGGAAAGTAGCTGGGCCCTGAGTGCTGTCCGGTTGTGAGCTGTGCCTGCTCCAAGAGTCTGCCCTGAGACAAATGCTTTGGCTCTTTCAGTTCTGTCTGCAAACCTGCCTCCCCTCCTCCTGACAGAGAGGACCGTAGGTCCTGGTGGAGGCCCACACCCTTTGTGTGGCATGCCTCATGGGAAGAGTTTTCGGTGGGACTGAGGAGCTTGAAGGAGGCTCAGGCCCTAGCTCTGCTAGCCAGCTCCCTGTTTGGTTTGCCTTTCTCCGTGCTGCCCTGGCCTGGAGTTCTGAGCGTAGCAGGGAGCGTTTGAGGAGATAGCAAAGTATGCTGATTAAGAATTTGGGCTTAACTGGGTGGTGGTGGTGCACACCTTTGATCCCAGCACTTGGGAGGCAGAGACAGGCAGATCTCAGTGAGTTCAGGCTAGCCTGGTCTACAAAGCGAGTTCCAGGACAGCCAGGACTGTTACACAGAGAAACCTGTCTCAAAAAACCAAAACCTAAAAAAATAAAAAAATAAAATAAAATTGGGCTTAGAGTCAGGCAAGTGGACAGTGAGTCCTTCCTCTGCTGCTTGGCAGTGAGACTCTGGGCAAATGAAAGAACATCCCTGATCCTCTATTTTTCTCATCTGTGTAAACAGGGTGATCCTAACACCTGCTTCACAGGGTTATTTTGAAAGTTAATGAGAGATATGCAGAAAACACTAAGCAAAGATCTGACACCACACTCAATTAGAAGAAGCTGTTAGGAGCAATGACCTGTGTGATCCATCAGGGTAGAGGTTTTGTTTAGTAGGTTATAGGAGCCATGCAGTTTTTCAAGCAAGAGCACATTTATGGGGTTGGAGAGATGGTTCAGTGGTTAAGAGCTGCTCTTCCAGAGGACCCAGGTTCAATTTCCAGCACCCACATGGCAGCTCCCAGCTGTCTGTAACTCCAGTTCCAGGGCTGCTGACATTTTTCACACTGAAGCGTGTAAAAAATAAATAAATTATTAAAAAACAAACAAAAGAAGAACACATTTACTTGTGGTTGTTAAGATCTGAGATAGTACGGGTCTGGGTTGTTCCAGGAATTTCCCTTTGAGGTATGGCAGGTAAGATGCTTAAGCAAAGTCTCAGAAGGCCTCCTTATGTGGTCACCTCCTTTTGTTCCCATGAGTCTCACGCAGAATCTTACTGCCTCACAGTTGGAACAGGGCTGGCCCGGCTAAAGGTCCTTGGCTCTGTTCCTTCCCCTTGTACCTCTGTACCTTCCCTAGCTGAGGGTCTTTGTTGTGTTGGCATGACAGCACAGGTCTCAGGGAGGAGGGTGGTGATTTCCTGTTCCTAGGGACTCCTTGTTTCTGCCATTCAGTGTCAGCCTTAGGGAAGTATGAGTGAGAGGCTTGAAGGGTAGGTAACATTGAGGGTACTTAAGGGACATTCCAGACATTGAGTTAGGTGTGGCGCTGCATACCTCCAGTGCTAAGTACTCTAAGAGGTTGAGGCAGGAGGATCACTTGATCCTAGGAGTCCAAATGTGGGCACCAAAACATTTGTGGTCCACCTGGGCTACACAGTGAGACCTTGACTGAAACAAAGCAAACAGTTAGGGCAGTAACAGGGCTGGCTGCGGGGCAGGCTGGGCTGGAGTGGCATTCCTCTGTGCACTTGGATGTGGCCTTGGCTCCTGGTCGGGGTCCAGGCAGGGTGGTGCCTGCTTCAGTGGAGCCACGGAAAGGTTGACAATGAGTGGAATGTGGCCCCCTAAGGACCCACACACTTCACTGGTCCAGGCATGCTGGTTGAACCCTTTGCTTTGTAAGCCTTTTCTAGCGGTTGAGTTGTGCCAGGACAGCCAAGGACATTTCAAAGTCCCTGGGACAACACTGGGCAGTGCTTGTGTTCTCAGGGTCCAAGGGTGTTTAGGTCTGTGGGAAAGGGTCTGGAGACACTCCAGCAACTTTTCTTAGCATCTAGGTAAACTGAGGTCCAGAGAAAGCAAGACGCTTGACCAAGATCTCACATGGCCTCCCCCTCACGTCTGACACTTCCTTCTGTTCCTGTGTCCCTTGCTCAGACGCCTGGCCTCATGCCCAGACAGACGTTTATATCCACCTCCCTCTGGAGGCTCCCCAGGAGCTTTGTTTGTCCTCCTGTTATCATAATTTCGCCGTGCCCTGCCAGGCGCTCGCACTATTTGATATGTCTGACCTCTTGTCCCCTTGTAGTGTGCTTGGGATGGAGCCTCCTAGACAGAGTATACAGTACAGAGGTCTAGGCCTCAGGCTCTGGAGCCATTCAGCTTGGGTTTGAGCCGCTCAGCTCTTTCCTCTGTGTGTAGCGTGGAGATGGTGGGCATAATGGCCCCCTGGAAGGCTCAGCATCCCCGTCTGCTCAGTGAGATCAGCACAGGCATTAGCTTGCAGGGTGGTTGGGGGATGGGCAGCTGAGATGACAGGTGGTATGCTGGTAAGACATAAGCTCTCACATGTGCTCATGGCTGTCACGAAGGCCGATTGGCTGGTTTGGCAAATTGAGTGTGGGGTGGGCTCAACTCTGTGCAAGGAGGCAGAGGAGTGGGCTTTGAGTTTGCCATCTCCTGTGTGCCTTTAGGGGAAGTTGTGTGTCCTTCCTCCTGAGGATGGGGGAGAAATCCTTATCATATTTTCCCAAAGCTGTCATGTGATACTAAAGCAATGGTGTGAGGCATTGTGTTTGTGGTTCAAAAATGGCAGGTGTAGGCTGGGACAATGAGGACAGTAACCATAGCGGTGGACAGCTGGCTGGGTGGCAGGCTGGCCAATCTGTGGAGTTCCCAGTGCCCACATGGGTTCCCCTCTCCACCTGCCTGTTCCCAGCCACCTTGCACATTAGTTTCAACATATGTCCCAGGAAACGTGGGAAGTACAAAGATCCCACGGCATTTCGAAGGACTTGGTGGGGTTGGGGTGACCTGTGTCCAGGAATTAAGAGCCAAGACAGGCACCAGTTTGAATGTCAGCTAAGTATTTCCCCACTGGGAGTTTGAGCAGTCAGCTGAAGCTCTGTGAACCACAGTCTCCTCGCTTGTGAAGTCAAGCCCGGAGAAGATGCAGGGGCTCAGCAGTTGGCAGAGGGGAGGAAGACAGTGGAATTCTGGGCTGTGGTGAGCTGGGCTATTGTGCCTTTAGGTGGATGAAGTGGATGTCAGTTGTGCCTGATCTTGAATCTCAGTTGAGGGTCAAGAGAGCCTATGAGACCATCTAGTACAATTTCTTTTACAGATGAAAGAGGAAGCCTAGAAAGAGGAGGTGCTTGCATGAGGTCCCAGGTTGGTTATTCCAAAGCCGGGCCTCCTGTGAGGAATAGAGGAGCCACCCTCACCCATGTCTTTCAACTGTCCCCACACCTTGCTTGCTTCACTGAGCAGAGTCCTGGGAGTAGTGTGTGGTGTATTTATCAGGAGCCTTTTGGGCTACCTGGTGACACCATCTGGAGTGCCCTCAGTCCCCTTCCAAAGGACCCTGAGGTAGGTCTGGTGTACCCTTTGTTCTGCTCTCTGCTCTCTGGAGAAGCCACTTCCTCCTTCGCCAGCCTCTCCCCACCCTCTCTGCTGCTAGCTGTGCCTCCAAGTGACTGCATTGAGCCCCCTCATGCCCCAGGTGTATTGGCAGCAGACTCTTGTCATGGTGACAAGCTCCAACAAGTCCGAAGGGACAGGCTGCTTTCATGTGGGCCTTCAGGAAACATCCTTTGTCTCCGCAGGCCTGTTGTGCCCACCAGGCCTTTAGCAAATTAGGGGCCTCTGTGCCTCCGGAGTCATTCTACCCACTGGCTTTCCTTTGTACTGTCTTTAGTGCCTCCAGGCTTTTAGCATCCCCAGGGCTTTGACTTCTTTGGGGCTGGCTGGGCTTAGGGTACTCCTCTGGTGAGTCTCTTATTGCTGCCCAGGTGTGCGGTTTTTTGTTTTTGTAAACTAGTTTGATACCCAACTTTTTGTCGATGGATGCTCTTCCCTCGGCCTCCCTAGTGCTGAAACCCAGGTGACTTGTCCCTTGTAGGGGTTCCCTGGAACCCCTGTTGTCCTTGTGCTGTGACTCGAGAGGCTGAGAAGTTAGCCCACAAGTGTGAGCATGTCATCTTATTGGTTCCACTGCTGTTCTTGGGCCTGAGCTTCTGCCATTAGAGAAGGGCTTTGTACTTTTTTGGTGTCCTTTCAGAAGCTAAATCCAAGTCCCTTTTCTGGTGGACACTTCTGAGTGTTGGCTGCCATAAAGTTATCCCCAGCTGGCCTGACTTTTCCCAGTTTACTGTGTGACCAGAGCCACGTTGCTGTTTCTCTCTGGGCCATTGCTGGGTACAAGCTTTGCAGCTCTAGCTTGTGGACACTCACAGGGACTCTGACACCCTCCATGTTCCTGCCAGTCACCTTTCTTCCTTCTCTGTGGGGCGGGACAATGGGAAGGGCCTGTGTCAGCTCAGCTAGGGCGGGGTCAGGAGCCCAAAGCCAACGTCATGGATCCTTTGACTTCCAGATGGTACCAAGAGGGATAGCAACCTTCTCTCCTCTTTTCAGGACAGGTAGGAAATTGTGGCTGGTTGGGGAGGTCACAGGGAAGTCAAGTGCAGCTGGAAGCCAGTTGACACTTGGTGCTTGTCAGGGTTCTTTCCATGCCTCCCTGTCACCTTTCCTGAGAGGGACCAGAGAAGCCAGCCTCTCCTAGGGTTGGGGACATGCTTTTCTTCTCGTATGGAGGATACCTTCTGCTTGCTGGGGGCCCCTGGGTTTGCTGGGCCTGGGAGGTTCAGGAGTCCAGACTGGCTGCCCTGCGAGGGAGGTGGTGAGAGAACAGGAGGCTTCCTGGAACAGGGTTGTTTGCTCTGGGTGCCCTAGGACCATCTCTCTCCCTCTTCCCTTCCCCCATCCCAGAGGGCTCTAGTCCCTGGCTCTGGGACTAGGTGCAGCTGTGTGAAGTGAGTGAGGAGCCAGATGCAGAGGTTCCCAGCAGAGGTTCCTCACATCTGGTGGGTCCCGTCATTCCTGTCCTGGTTCCCGTCAGTGCTGGCCTCTTGGTCCTTTTGACTGTTGTCCTCAGTCCCCTGCCCTGTCCATTCTGAATGTGTGTTAATGTGCAGTGTGTGTGTGTTTAGACCCACTCACCTGGGGCCTGGGTGTACATACAGCAAGCTCCTAAGCCTGGCATGGCGTTCTGTCTGTCAACAGTCAGGAGGAGAAGAAGCCGGTTCCAAGAGTGCCCTGGCAACATGTGCTGCCATAGGGAGGTGGCGGGCTGGCCTGGTAGGTTGTTGAGGTGGAGGAGGAGGAACGAACAGGTGATGTTGGTTGAGGGATGTGAAGGGAAAGTTTAGTTCTACAGCTTCCTGGAATAGCTAGGGGAGTCAACAGCAACACCTGAGGCGGGCAAACTAAGGAACTGAAGTTCCTTCAGGGCAGCGGGACCCTGGAATGGTGATCTCTAAAGGTACTCACTTGTTACATATGTGGCTTTACTTCTCTAGCCACAGAGCTGAGTGTCTAGTCATTGTTCTGTTGTTGAAAAGAGACCATGATCAAGGCAACTCTGACAAAGGAAAACTTTGGGTCTGGAGAGATGGCTTAGTGGTTAAGAGCACTGACTTTTCTCCCAGGTTCAATTCCCAACACCCACATGGTACCTTACAACTCTCTGTAATTCCAGTTCCAGGGGATCTGACACCCTCACACAGACATACATGCCGGCAAAACACCAATGCACATAAAACAAAAATAAAAGATAATTAAAAAATTAGGAAAACCTTTAACTGGTTACCTTATAGTTTCAGAGCTTAGTCCATTGTTATTAAGAGAAACTGGTCCTGATGTGGGCTTTTGAAACCTCAAAGCCTGCCCCTAATAGGAAGAAGCTCCAACGAGACCATACCTCAGCCAGCAAGGACATACATACCTCCTAATCTTTTTAATCCTGTCAAACAGTTCCACACACTAAGCATTCATGTGAGCCTATAGGGGACATTCTTATCCAATTTGACACACTGGGCTCTGCCAAAGACAAGACTCCTGGAGATCCAAGTTCTGTTTGGTGGGGACCCGTCACCACCACCCTGATTTTGTGGATCTGGAGTGAGTCTGCTAGCAATTGTCATTAGCTTCTCAAAAAGTCCTAAACTGCTTCCGCTCTGGTGCACACACATGTCATAGTGTGCAGCTGGGGAGACAGGCTCGGCAGAGAAGTTGCCCAGATGTCTTCCTGCTTTGTTGTTCTTAGCTCTGACACCTGGGGAGGGCTGGTTGCTCATGTGTGTGTCCATGTCTCAGAGCCGTAGGGGAATGTAACAGCCTGGACATCCTTCTTTCCCAAAAGGAGGACAGACCAGAGACATTCAAGGCATAGATTGATTTCCACTGGGGACAAATGACAAGATGGCTTGCTTTGACTTGAACTACTCTTTCCCCTGCTGTTCTTTAGCAGGAAGCCTCTGACTAGAGTGCATTCCTTCTCCCTCCATCCCTCTCTCTCCCTCTGTCCCCCTCCCTCCCTCCCTCCCTCCCTCCCTCCCTCCCTCCCTCCCTCCCTCCCTCCCTCTCTCTCTCTCTCTCTCTCTCTCTCTCTCTTTCTTTTTCAAGACAGGTTTCGTTGTGTAGCCCTGGCTGTCCTAGAGCTTGCTTTGTAGACCAGGCTGGCTTCAAACTCAGAGATCCACCTGCTTCTGCTGGGATTAAAGGCAAGTGCCTACCAGATGCATTCCATTTCTTAGTAGGGTTTCTACTGGGATGGGGAAAGACAAGGGTCCTCTGTGGACCTGCCTGAGGTATGGAATGCTGAGCAGGGAACTCTAAGGGGCGTATGAATGGACTCCAGAGTGGACTGGGGAGGGTCTTTCTAGCTCCGTGTCCACTCAGATGTGTGATTTTTTTTAAAGACACACCTTCTCTGAGTCTGCACTTCCATGCAGTGCACACCTGGTGACCCTACCCAGTGTGGTGAGCACAGCAGGGGATATTCAGCAGCCCTGTGAGCTCCCAGGAGCTCTCTCTGAGTTAGTGGATGTCAGCAGCCACTGACAGTTGTTATTCTTGTAAGAAAATGTCCTTTTCCTTTAAGTGTCTGTCATCAGAACCTAAGGAAAATAACTGCCATGGATTTGATGGTCTTAGGAATGCTGGGGTAAGCAGAGAGCCCTGTTTTGGGGGAAGGCGTCCCTGGTCCTGCATAGCTGGTCCTGCCTTGGCTTGTTATCTACAGCGCCCATCCCCCACCTGCTGTTTGTTTGCTTGGTAAACCTTTTTTCAGAGCTGGAACAGATAAATTTTCAACTCAGGCCCTGCTGGAAATAAGACACTAGCCACCCACAGTCTTGGACCTGCCTTTGCCTGCCAGGGGGGGACCCAGAGCAAGTTCCCAAGCTAAGAAGCAGGGTGAGCAGTGTTGTTTGGTGTGCTTGCTCATGGAGGGAGGGCTTGTGGGGCTCCTTCTAGTGGGGTCCCTGCATGTGAAAGACAGTGGGTAATGAGCGGGAAGAGTGGAGACACACACTGTGTTGAGCACTGGGCAAGCACCAGCTGCCCCAGGTGAATTTAGCTATGGAGGAGAGCCTAGACTTGGTGCTGAGCTGCCCAGCCAGCTCCACAGGCTGAGAGCCTCTGGGGCTCGGCTCCTCATCTGGACAGTCTGGGGAATAGAGGTCACCAGCGCTGTTGGAGTGGGCGTAGTCTCACCATGTGGTGTCCAGGAAAGGGAAGTGGCTGTAACTGATGTAGCTGGCTTGAGACTCCTGCCACAGACTGAAGAGGAAGGGCAAGGATTCTTTGCTGTGAGCACCCACTGGAGACAGGAAACTTGTGTGCTTGGGAGGCCGTGGAGAAGTAGAGGAGCGTTCATTCAGGTGCTTGCAAGACCAGCAGCAGGCAGGTCCTGGCTTTGTTGGAGGGTGGGCAGGGCTCTAATGGATAAGAAAAAGGCTCAAGGTAAGTGGGAGCAGGGCATTCCTGGCTGGTACAATTCAAAGAATTCCTTCCTTTTCCTCTCTCTGGACGGCAGTGCTCTGTGTACTCACTGCAGGTGGACTATGCCCTTGCGGCCCTGTGAGTCCAATCCAAACCACTTACAGTCTCTGGCCAGTGGTGACTGTGGTCATGGTGGGGTGACTGATAGGCAGCTTGGCCACAGGCCAGTCAGCACTGTGGAATCATGGGGGATGGGAGTGCCACAAATTCCACCAAGAAGGGGTTGCTCCTAGTCTCGGCCTCTTGGGGAGAACTCATAATGGAACAACTCTCCCTGGAGCTGGGAAGCAAATGTGAGGATTTTCTCTACTGCTTTGACTTTGGAGGGTGGGGCAGGCCAAGCTGGGTGGCTGTGGGGTGTGGCTCAGCTGTAGGGTGTGTCTGGTTGGTGGGTGGGTGGCAGTGTGACTGGGTTGCCGGTGTAATGGCTGGGAGGAGCTGGGCCAGCTGTGGGGCGTGGTTCTCGATGTATGGGGGACTAGTGTCTGGGCCAACCCTATCCTCCCGAGTTCTTGGCCAAGTCATACCATGCAGACCCTTTGGAACTGCCTGCAGGGTGCCTCCTGAGCTCTCAGTGTCTGTGTGGTCTGGGTGCCCATAGTGATGCCTTTTAGTGTGTGTGTGTGTGTGTGTGTGTGTGTGTGTGTGTGTGTGTGTGTGTACACGCATCCAGTACACAGGAGCTTGAATGTCTATATTGGAAGGTGGGTGCCCCAGTGTTATCAGGAATGACTCAGATTGGAAATAAAATGAGTGATGGGCTGTGTGGACCTTCCCTCGCTCACTCTGAAGTGGCATTACACCAGAGACCTAAAACCATGATTTCTGAAGCTCTCCGAAACCTTCCCTGAAGCTCTGGGTCACCGCTGGGACCCTCATGGTGTGTGACAGACAGACTGAGGGAACTGACAGGTTATCTGCACACTTCCAGATCCCAGGGTGATATCACACTGCCACTCTTTCCTGAAGCCCCTTCCCTATCTTTCCTTTCTGGTTCCAAGACCACAGATCCTGTTTTGCTTTGAGACAGGGTAACAGTATGTTGCCCTTGTTAGCTTGAAATTTATTATGTACCAGTCTGGACTGGAATTTACAGAGATCCACTTGCCTCAGCCTCCTGAATGCTAGAGTTAAATGCATCTGCCACTGTGCCTGGCTTCATTTTATTTATTTATTTATTTATTTACTTATTTATTTGGGTTTTTTGAGACAGAGTTTCACTAGCTCTTGTAGACCATGCTGGTCTCGAACTCACACAGGTCTTCCTGTTTCTGCCTCCCGAGTGCTGGGATTAAAGGCATGTGCCACCACGGCCCAGCTTCATTTTTAAAAAAAAAAAGCTAAATTGGAATTCTTTTTAAAATTTAACTAGTCAATTAATTTTTGATATTTCTATTAGAATTTTAAAATTTATATGAATGGGTGTTTTGCCTGCATGAATGTCTGTGCACCAACTGCGTGCCTGGTGTCTGTGGAGTCCAGAGAGGTCATCAGAGGCTCTGGAACTAAAATTAGGGACAGGTGTGAGCTGCCAGGTGGGTGTTGGGAACTGAACCTTGGTCCTCTATAAGAGCAGCCAGTGTTCTTAATTGTTGTCATTTCTCCAGCTCATAATGAAATGTATTGTCTAAGTTTATAGGTTAAGGTTAAAAAAAGCAGGTAAAAAGATCAAAAGAATCCTTTGCAAAGCTCACAAGAAAGTTAAGGCATATGTTTTGAAGACTTGAATATGGTTCATACTCTTGCTGAGAGAGCCCCCTTTTTACACTTTATCTTCAAGATGGGGTCTGGGGTTGGAGAGATGGCTCAGTGCGTAAGAGGGCTGAATTTGGAGCCCAGTACCCATGTCAAAAGATAGGCACGGCAGTAGCCAGGCCATGTAATGGAGAATGGGGTAAAAACAGGAGAATTGCTGGGGCTTGCTGGCTGTCAGCCTAGCCAAAAAATGGTGAATTTCAGGTTCAATGAGAGACTGTCTCAAGGGAATAAGGTGGAGGGTCATAGAGGAGGACAGCCAATGTCTTCTGCCCTTTCCACATCTTTTTTTTTTTTTTTTTTTTTTTTGGTTTTTACGAGACAGGGTTTCTCTGTATTGTTTTGGAGGCTGTCAGCCCAGCCCAGCCTGGAACTCACAGAGATCCGCCTACCTCTGTCTCCAAAGTGGGAAAATTAAAGGCATAAGCCACCACACCTGGTCTACAATGATCTTAAGTTTTTTTGTTTGTTTTTAATTTTTGCGATGTATTTAATTTATGTGTATGGGTGTTTTGTCTACATGTGTCTGTGTACCATGTGTATGCAGCGCCTGTAGAAGCCAGAGGGGTCAGATTACTTGGAACTGGAGTTATAGGCAGTTGTGAGCTGCCATGTGGGTGCTGGAATTGCACCTGGGTCCTCTGGAAG